TAAAGTAGCAGGTGCCAGTAGGAAGTGAAGTCTGTGTCCTGTACCCTTATGGTAGTTACGATTTAAAAACTGACTTGCAATTCAGATTGCTTTCTTAGCTTAAAAATACACAAGAAGTATTCCCAATTGCTCTATTGGAGCATAGCTTGTTTCTTGGAGGAAGACACAAGTTTTCAAAACTGTACACCTTTGAATTTCAGAACATACCTAATGGCCTAAAGCTTCTACAAAACCATTGTCCTTCAGGTAGAATGACTCTGAATGCCCAATGTGAAACCCCAGAGTCCTGAAAAGCCTGAAAATGCAGGGAATAGATGCCTTTACAGCTTTATTGTCAGACCATCTTTTAATCCTCCAAGTGTTTGCTCTATCTCCAGAAGCTTTATGGAAGATCAAATTAAGCCAAGGCCAACAGTTCCTCTAACCAATGTTGCACTTCACATGAAAAATGGGACAAAATGACCAAGTCTTTAACTAAACAAACTGTACTACGCTAGCAAAGGAGTTTCTCACTTTGCAAAACAGACTGCATAACTCTAAAAACCAAAGAGAATTGACAACATTTTGAATTTGAAGAATTCATATACTATCAAAGTAATGGTGCTCAGTGAGGGATGCACACCTCTGCGAGGTACATAATGTGATCTACCCTCCCCAAACTGTATCACCGAGACCAAGAAAATACATCAGCAAGTCAGTGTAACAACTAAAAACAGATCTGGAGGTATATAAATACCATTCTGATGACAAACGACAAACATCAGAATTCCTTAAATCAGACTTACTTCAAACTGATGTCATTGGAGGCCTTCTTTGCTATTCCTAAACCTCCTTTTGGCATAGGAGTGCACAGAGTAAGCACATGCTCCTTATCTGTGCACATTTGCAGTAATTCTAGTAAACATTAGATTAAAAAAAATGTTCTTGAACTTTAAAATAAAGAATAAAGCTTTGACTTCTGTTATAATTAAAATTTTTGAAAAGAGCCTTCAGTTCAAGACCCATGTTCACCACTGCTGTTCACTGACTGACATGAGGATTCAAACCAGTACCGTAAATGGGAAAACCAACAGTTCTGTAAGGAAAATGTCTGGCAGGATTGCACAGTTCACATACAAGCTGCCATGACTTTCAGTGGGATACTCCATTATTCTTTATGTCCACTACAGAAACTGTGCTTGCCAGTTTAAATGTACTGATATCTACATACTTCATTTTTGTCTGAAAATACCTGTACCAAAACGAACCAAGCCAGATGTTCAGCCTGCAGTAAGACAGCAATATAAGGATGAGCATATGGCATTTCAATTCTTATGTCCTAGCTAAAATCCACTCCATTAACAGTTTTGTTTCAGTATGCACACTTCATTATGACAGCACAACCTTTAAACATTACAAGCTTCACACCACTGCAAGCCTATGTCAGCCTTTCTTTTAGAAAACTTACCTGCCAGAAAGTGCATTATTTGAAATTATTATTAAGGAATTTGGCTTATTAAGGAATTCATATGCTACAGTGCAAAACAGATTTGCTATGATTTTTTTTTCTTTGCATTAAGAGAATGTTGTCTGCTCTTCTTTTCTTTGGCAAAGGAAAATAAAATATTATTGCATATACTTGATCCTTCCTCTGGATTCCTGCCTTCTGATATTTAGATAAACATAGCTTAATAGACCAGAAATATTTAATGTCTTACAAAGAACTTCTGTTCACATTTGGTAAAACTTCTTTTGCTAACCTATGTGCAGCAGGATTCTTGTGTAAGAGGAACCAGTCTGACTTCCCCATGAGCAGCTGTTAATGTAGGTACACATTCAAACACGCAGTTGTCTGAAATAGCAGCGCTCTAGACACTGAAAGTCAAGAAGGGCCAGCTCAGGTTGCAGGGCTGCATGGCCACCCCTGTGAGATGGTGTAATCACAAGCCAGTGAAATCTTTCTCCTCCTAGAAAGCTATTACTGGTCACTCCTTGCACTTCTTACAGGCACTGGGATTGGCCTTTGAGCAGTGATTCATGAAGGTATCACACTGCTCTGCCTGCCGTGCTGCTGCCTTGGCTCACTGCATTCATTTCCCTCCAATTTTCTGCACACCATACATAGCACACAACAAATTCTGTTCCAAATGTCTCCTTACCCAGAGGGTAGTTTAAAATCACAAATGGAAAGAATGTGTCACTTGAAGCCATGGTTGTGGCTTGTTCACACTTTGACTTCAGAAGAAAATTTCAATGTTGTTTTTTAGTTATGGCAATTTCCAGTAGATTCCCCATTCCCTTGGCATTAATGAAGAACAACAGTTTTGTCTCACTATACTCATTAGGAAATATTGGTTGCTCAATGCTTAGCTACAACAATGATTTACAAACCATAAATGCCTACAGCAGAGGTGCATTTCTCAGGGTCCTGCACACGCAGACTGCTTCAGCTGCAACATCAGAGCGTTCACTCAGCTTTGTGTAAGAGTACAGACACACCAGATCACTGTCAGTAGGACAGATTTCTCTGATAGTGTGACTGATAGATGTGATTCATCTCAGATTTCTCTGGTAGTGTGACCCTGGGAACACCTCACTTTCCTGCAATAAATAGCAAAGAACTACCAATTTGTTGCATTCGTTTCCTAATACTGTCTGTTTTAAAGGCATTCTCCCTTTGAAGCATTTGTAAGAGCAGTACAAAAGATGCCAGGCAACACAAAATTTAGCTGAAGTACTTAAATATCACTGAGATAACAGGTGCATCATACTACCCTGCAAGTGCAGGTGCAGAATTCTCTCTGCTGCTACTAGAAATTAATTTATAATATTATTATATTAATTAATAATATTAACACAGAACAGAGATTCATGACTCATTTCAGCACTTAGAGAGTTCACAGACAACTGCAGGTTATGAAACTGTGCAATGACATTTGAATTCTTCTAGAAAGCCCCAACACCACAGATGAGAAATGTAGGAACAACTGGCAACAACATTTTTTGTAACATTTTGGATCACTGAGGAAATTTTACAAAGTGTATTGCAAGTAACCAATCTACAAGAATTAATGCTGAAATGCAAAAAAAGAACACTGAATGAAGGAAAAGCAGTCTGACCTAATTCTCACAACTCGAAGACTTATTTTAACCATTAATTCAAATATTAATTTAACACAGATCTGGCTTCAGAAGCAGGAACAACTTCAGAAACAAGTTAATTTGGGTATCATCTGAGAAAGCAATCAGTTCCGTTGGAAGTCAACTTTGGGTAACATTTAAATATATGCTAGACTTTTGAAAATTCTGAATATGACAACAGACAATATCACCCTTTTTTTCAGTATTCAGGGAAGCTTTCACTTGCAAATTGTACTTCTGAATTAATTACTTAATTTGCACTTTTTAAAGTAATTATGACCAAACATATTTGACTAGAACAAGAGCTACCCAGCTAACTAGTCGGAGTTGATAATTTTTATTTAAGTTATTAAAAACATAGAGATTAGTCAACTCATGGTAAAATCAAACTCCCAATCAGCTGCAGACCCAGAAACTACCTAGATCTTCTGTTTAAATATTTCAAAGAGAAACCATGTTCTTTTTCTCCCAGGAGCTTTTCATGATGACACACCTCACAGTGCCAGATCATGTCCTGTTGTATAAAATGAAATACCAGAAGCAATACTTACCCATGGCAATCACCCACAGATCATCCTCTTCTACAAAGCAAATTACCAATATGAGTGAAAACAGAGCCCTTGAAGATAGAGATATGGTACATGAACAAGTTACTATGAGTAAGATAGGTGTCATCTTGCCATGGAATAAATGTGAGCTCAAGGACAGCCCACTGCAGAGTAGCCCATGGGCATCCTTTTTACACTCCAATTTACCCTGCGCTATCTTGTCCACCAAGTTGTTTCATGTCACTGGAAAAAAAAATCACTTCATATCTCCATGATTGTTTTCTCTCTCAGTTCCTTATTCCATTTCGGCTCATTAGTCCAAGAACAGCTTGAGACAACAATCTGTCTTGGATTTGAAACGTGCCTAATCTTGTAATTAACATTATGAAATTAATTTCTGGTGAAAGGAAGATAATTCTGAACCTGCCCTTGCAGGGTAGTGTGATGCACCTGTTATCTCAATCATGTTTAAGTCCTTCAGCTGAATTTTGTGTTCTGGTAGAAGTGAGTCCCTGGATTAAGGTATTGAGACACCACTACAATAATAAAGAAATGTTATTTACCTAAAGACAATCTGTGATCTATGTCATTCTGCTGAAACAGTGAAACTCCCTATGGCAACAGTCTCAAGACAAAGTAAGCTGAAATCATCTTTCTGTTCCTGTAAGAAAGACGGATTGTACTTATTGAAATCCAGGGTACAGGAGGTAAATTCATTCCTTAGAATCAACCTTGGAAAAGGAAGACATTAGTGGAGATATATTGAAAGGCACAGCTGACCTTTCTCAATAACAGAGGTATATACAGAACCAACCCCTTCTACTCAGGCATTTATCATGTCCTTATTTCAAAGAGCAGCAGCCAATACACAGTGAAGCCTCTTTTTGGTTTAAAAAGTGACATATCTTAATTTGAAACACAGTTTTTCAAACTTTTCAATTTGCAGCTCCTGTTTGTATGCTTATGAATACAGTGAAGTCGGAAAGGCTACTTAAGGCTCAAGCTTGGTTTTCTTGGTTATGTTTTGTACCTCCTCATAGGTAAACTTAAATTTTGAAAGGCCTCTAGATCACATGTTCAATGCCTGAAATCTCAGATAAGAGAGACAGCCAGACAGCAACTTCAATACTGTAACAATACCAAAAATAAACCAGGCAAACCTAAAGAAACCGTGCCCTAAAACCTCATTTATAGCAACTTAGTGGCTGCTTTTTCTCATGGAGGGAACCTCCCCACTTCTGAAATGCTCATTATCAATGCACAACAAATGAACTCAGTAAAATGGGGTAGCACTGTTACTGCTGCACTAATGTAATAATAAACCAAAACATATTTACTACATATATTTATTTGTGGCATTCACTCATACTGAGAATACAATTACAAATTATGCAGATAATACATACTGAAAGTCAACAAGATACAAGAGTATTATTTACAGAAATGTAGTTATTTAGACAAGTAAATGTAATTCAGGTATACAATGAGGTTATATTTATCTGTTGGGGAACAGTGGTACAATAACTGAAATATTCAGAAGAGGAGTATGCTCTCATTTGGTTTTAAATTAAAAAGTATTGTTACATTAAACTCTAAATTAAGAATTGAGATCAAGATTCATTCAGATGCAATTTAGAATGGGGCCCAGCTCAGTGAAACCCATGTCACACATCAAAACAAAGACAACAACCCTCTTAACTCAAACAAATAAAAAAAAAGAAAAATATAGATGGTACCAGAACAGAAAGATGTAGATTAGTTCTATCAATACTTATTAACTGTATAATAAATGTCTCATGTTATTCAACAACAATTTAGGAGAGGCTAATTAAAAAAATAAAAATTGATTCCTTAGGTTCACAGAATTCATTTTGTCTGGGATTTTTAAGGCAATGGCAACAAAGAGAATTAGATGTCTAATGGGAGGAGAGAATCTCCTTTCTTTGAAAACCTCCAAATTTCTATGCAATACCTTTCTACCCTTCATAGAAGATTCATATCCCTAGGTTATTTACAACAAAGGATTTCACAGCAAAGTACAGAATGGGTGAAGATTTGATTTCATACAATGATCTTAAATATTAATATTTTAAATACTTTTATTCTGCATACTCAGAAAATAATTCATAAGCCTCTAAGTGCTGTCTGAAAACAACTGAAATGGAAAACAATTCCAGAAAGGAATTCTATTGAATCAAGTTCTCTCCACAAACACAAAAACAACAAAGTGATATAGTTCAGCCTGGTCCTTGTGGGAGGAAGAAAAAGTTATCCTTCGCAACATACTTCACAATGACCTTACAGAATTATTATATACACAGCAGAACACCCAAATTACTTTTTAATCACCCTTACAAAGAAAGGTTTGCTTAGTAACATTTCAACAAAAACGCAAAATTTTCAGCCCAAGGTTGAAACAACTTTACTTCCAAAGCACAACAAACATCTTTGTTCTACAAAATTTACTTCAGGCAGGTATTAACAACATTAAATTCATCTGGGGAAGATGCACTACATTGATCTAATAAATAAAGGAGTGACCTATACATTAAAGACATAGTAAAACTTGAACTACTTCTCATTCTTTTTATAAACTAGCAGATACAAAACTACGGAGAGGCATTAAAATAACTATGGAGTCGCAGCTTATTATTATCTATATATCAGAATGTGTTATTACATTACTGAGATTTCTTGAGGAGAGCCTTTAAAAGAGTATTTTTCTTCTATGAAAAATTTCTCTGAAGAGTATCTTCTTTCCATGTGCTACAACTGAAGCACATACAAAAAAGATCTGACAATACATTTACCTCTCTTCATAGGGAAAATAGAAAAATTTTGTTCTGTACTAGGATATATTTTTGATACCCAGGAATTTAATACTCATTATGAAAGGCCTTTTCTAAACATAATATTTTATCAGAGAGGGTAATCTTCAAATGTTGCTTGCAAGTCAAGGTAAGTCAGAGGTAGCTTAGGAATGCCTTAGAATTTAGTGTTTTATTTCAAATTAATTAATCCCTATTTCAAAGGGGTTAATACTATGTAAAAAAGGCAAACAGTATATACAGCTGCCACTGTCTGCACCAGGAGAATAATTCCAAGAAGCTCAAAATAAGATCAGAACAGGGAAAAGCACAGTGCACTCTTCTGCCTTTGCTTCAGTGCACCAGTTCAGGCTGGTTCTCTACAAAAGGAAGCACCCCACTAACATAGTAGGCTATTCCAAGTGACAGAAGAGCAATGACAATGATGAGGAGAAGCACTCTCCAGAAGCCCAGGTCTTCCACAAACTCTTGCCACGTTGTGCGGAAACTGGAAAAAACTCCTTCACCTTGCTGCAGGTTTGGATTAAGGAGGGAATGGCTTTCCATTGCACTATTAAGGATTAAAGTTAAAAACACATCAGAGCAAAAAAATGGACCTTTAAATATGACAGTAATTCTACAAAGGGCAACTGAAACATTCTAAATTAAAAATTAAACCCACCTGCAGATTTATAGCATTGCCTCTGCTAAATCAAGACAAAGCAGGCCAGGAAAACACTCTTAACTCTAAACTTAATTTAGTTGAATGGATGTTTTATTAACCTGTGCAAAGAGACTGATATCTGTATATGAACAACTGCCCTGAATTTGCAGGCTTGCCACCTAGAAGCCTTCAAAAGCCAGTCCTCATAATTCCTACTAAATATGGCTTAGTAAAATATAATGAAGCATAAGCTAAAACCTCAAGGGGCCCAGCTCTTGTTAACAAAACAAATTATGACTAAAAATAAACTCTGGTGAATAAAATGGAAACTTTAACCACTATTAATTTAGATGCTGAATTTTGTAGTGATCTTTACTACTCTCCTGCATCTCTTAGTTACAGAGGCCTCCTCTCTAGCATAAAAAAAAATAAAATTCACATAAACCAATAAATTTGGGTAACAAGAAGTTCAGAAACATTCTGAACAAGTTGGCATTGCTGTGTTTTCTGCCATATGGCTTTCAGCGACTGCCTTGATGTTTTAACATTGCACTAGCAATCCATCAGGCCCCTTTAAATTGTCAGACTATAAATCAGGAACTGGAAGTTTCACTTTTAAATGAGAAACAAATATAAAATCAGAATGAGGCACTCATCTTGACAATGAATCACCTTTAGAAAACATGTAAGTTGTCCCCAGTACCGCATGGCTTCTTGCATAATTCTGCCAATTTTGCTTGTTTCCCAACTGGTTTACCACAGGAAACTTTCTCTGAAAAACCTCACAAAGAATAGGAAAACTTTCTCATCGCTTGACTGCACTTAAAATTTTGACCATCTGCACAGTCCTACTACTTCTGACTTGAGTGAAATTACACACATGGGTGTTTACAGGATTGGGCTCTGACAAGCATGGAAAGGAAACGGTGGAATCAATTACTCAGTGATGTCAATAGAAGAACATAAGCAGAGAAAAAAAATTTATTTTCCTTGGTTTTAACTGCTTTCAGTTACCATATTCCTAGATATATCTTACAGCACTAATAATAAAAATTAAATAAAAAATTCAGGGGAAAGTAATTTCCAGGTCAAAACTAATTGTAGAAACGCTGCTCTTCTTGGTGACAGTAATGAACTGACAAATGATCGTTATCGGAAAAAATCTCTCTTCTAAGATTACACCACGAGAAAACTTCACACTATTTGTATGGTATTTTTTCTCAGGAAGTACAGCCACTGAAGAATAATTAACCTAAACTCCCACAGCTCGCTGAAGTATTGCAGCATCATGTGCAGATTTCAGAAACTGCCTATTAAACAGCTTGTATTTTAGTTTTTTAAATATTTACAATCCTGTAAAACTATTTTTGCTTGCCCATAGCTGCAGGATTTAGTCATCTTCCTTGCTTATTATGATTTCCCAAGCAAAACAAAAGGATTAATAAAAGACAGACATTGGTGTAGAAGAGAACAGAACAACTTACTCATTAAGTACTAACTAGTTAATACATAACTACAGAGAGGTTAAATAAAGGTTCCATGCAATTCAAGTGAAAAGATCACATGCTTCTCATTAAAAGGAAAAGGGTACATAGGAAACATTTTTTCTATTTTATATTACAATCCAATTAAAATCTATGTTATTCAAGGTATTTTTTCTTATGATGAATTGCAGCTGTGTAAGGACGGGTCATGCAGCAATGTGCCCTCAGAAGAGTTTATGCCACACAGCCCAGACAGATGTTCTCTGCTGTCTCCAACAGCACATGGAAGTTCACATTTGGACGCACTTGTGGGCACAGCCACAGGTCCTGCTGGGCTGTGCAGATGGACAGACCGTCTGCACTGCGAGACAGACAGAGCAAGCTCTGGCTCCTGACAGCACAGCGCCGCTCCCCTCTGGGGGCAGGGCACAGCCAGCGAAAACACAGCTGACTCGGGAACAAAACTTTGGCCTCTGCTTCCAGAGCTGCAGCAAGTGCACGTAACAGGGAGCAGAAAACTAAAGTCAGAGACTGTTTTTAGAAAGAGCATTATTTCTCCGCAGGTTCATACATAATGTAAAACTTTTCGGGGGGGCAAGGACAGAAGACATTCGTCTAAATGTCTCCAAAATGTGAAAATATTACTAAGAGGGAGGAGTGAAACCGTGGAGGTCTGAAAAACCAACTGTTACAAAGGCATTATTTATTTACAAAGCAAACAGCACACGAGCTCACTTGCTTTGGCTGCTGTAGGCATCTGCTATTTGTTATTTTTAAAATAATGCATTTCAGACATTTTAAACACATTCCCAAACAGGCTGGGTAGTGCACTGTTTATGTCTCTGTGTCTCTCCCCAAGGAGAGTTGCTGACTTCCTTGCCAAAGCAAACAATATAACATTTATGAAGGTCAAGTAACAGAAAGGAAGCTATGTTCATTAAAGGGACACTCTCAAATCAAAAATCAGAATGGAAATGGGGCTGAGCTGTCGGTCCATATGTTCAAACAAAACCAGCATAAATGCATTTCTGTGGGACAAGCAACTCTCAATAAAATTTAGTGAAGTCAGAACGGTATTATGCACAAATTCTTATAATTTATAACCATGCAATGTTGAGAATAAAATTAAATTTTCTATTTCAGGGCTTAAATCAGTCTCTCTGATAGGTGTGGTCACCTGGTGTGTAATAAAGAGCTTCAAATCTGTTCACTGGGAGTGTTTGGCATTATTTCTGTAATTTTGTTGGCTTCACCTTTTCTCTTTACTCACATAACTCTATCTGCACAGCTCCATTTTCATTTACAGTACAGGCTGTGTACATTTTGACATAAACTGATCAACAGTTATGTGACAAAACTCCCTGTCTTTTGAGATATGATTTTCCAGTAGTCATAGTTCATAATCATTATTCGACAACATAAAAAACCCTCAAAATTTTAATAAATACAGTGCAAGAGCAAGTATTTCAAACAACACTGATAGCCTCTTCTAAATATGAATTAAAACTAAAACAGTATTAAAAAGACTTCTTGCATTATTAATCTCAGTTCCATGTCCTGTCATGTTTATTGGTAATTCAATGATTTCTGCAAGAGAATTATCATCCTTTGAAACCTGCAAGGCTTCTTGCCTCATCAAATCTGCAAGAAGACTGTCTTGGAAGCTGATTGTAAAAAAACACACTCCCAATTTTCAATCACAAAAGTATCTGTGGTTTATCTGTATCCTTTGGCTCTTATGCTATCATCATCTTTTGTCTTAAACAGTTATTTTGTTCAAAACCAATATTTCTTGTCAACAATCACATAACACCTCTCAGTTTTCATTCTGCCAGGCTAAAACAAGCTCTACTTGCCTTCTTTCATAAGGAGATGCTCTGTTCCCTGAGTGCTTCGAGTAATGCCTCTCCATGCTTCTTAAAAGGATAAATTAAACTTTTTTGAATGAGGGTAAACAGCATAATAAAACATACTAAAGAGCAGAAGTCACTGTTGCTTTAAACAGCAGGACGGTTTTCTTCATGTAGCGAAAATATCTCATTTTGTGCTTTGTAGGACTTCACGACATTTTTCAGGGAAGCATCAACTCCTGGAACTGACTAGTACATCAAGCCTTTTCTCCTATACCTTTGTTTTCCACTGAGAAATTTTTTTATTTTATGGCATCCAGCTTTTGGTAAATAAAGCTGCAATTTGTGCTACTGAATCGCAATTTATTCCTACTAATTTCCTCTCCCTTGTAACCCCAGGTTTTTGTCTGTGCCATCCCAATTTTCCTCTGGGTTGTCTATATTTCACGCCTTGGTATCACTAACATGCTTCTACTTCTTATGCTTCTACTTTTTTATTTAAGAAAATTCTAAGTAAACACAGTCCCAGAACCAGACCTTTAAGAATGCATTAGTAGCTTCCATCTAACCCAATAATTTCCCTGAAATGGCCAGCAATTTTCCTGAAATCTTCAGTTCTCCATTAACTATCTCTTTAGCCACCATAACATTCTTATTCTCCATCTTTTCCAGGACTACTGCTGATAAAAATTTCATACATGGCACCACATAAAGTCCTTTATTCAAGTTCAGACAGATGAAAAGTCTCCTACCCTTTGTTTGCACAGACATTCCCTCTTATCAAAAGTATGTCAGGTTAGCCTGTGATATTGGCATTTTGCATTTCATGCTATTTTCTCTTTGGCTTTGTGATAAGAGGTAGACTCTGTAATGGAAAATGAGTAATTATTTCTTAAAATGTCTACCAAAAAAATTAAAATCTCAATAGAAGAAGTTCTTTTCTTCCTTACAATTGATCTGTTTAAATAGATAATATCAGGCCAAATTTTATATTACCCATTTTGAGGAATAAACAATCAAGTCAATCACAAAAATCTAAAATGCATAAATGCCATTTCTCCTAATAATTATTTTTGTTTGGTAAATACCTTTCACTTTCAGCGGTCTGCATGGTTTCCAGCTTTGAATGAGCTCCTCTGTTAAACCCTTTCACCTCTTGCTCCTCTAGGGATTCCAGCAGTCTAATCACATCTTTATTCACACCCCTTCGTTTGGCAAGAACAAGTGGTGTTGCACCTTGATGGTTGCTAAAACAACCCCACAAAAAGACATAAGGAAAGAAAATTTTAATATAGAAATTTTGTAACAAGTCAACTCAGCATAACGTATTACAATTTACTACCTATTGGAACTATTTTAGTAGTATAGTAGAATAGAATAGTAACTATTTAAAAATATTTTCTGTTGTATCAGGCAGTGCAAGAATCCTTTCTATACAAGTTACAGCATAATTGGCTATAGAATAAAATCAGTATATTCAGGTTTGAAATTGCACAACCCTTTTCTCCCCCTAAGTAAAATCAAAATTTGCTGGACTCTAATTGGAATCTCTGGGTGTTATACCAAAAAAATAAACAGTAGATTTATGGCAATGTTCAAGTTCAAGCCTAATTTCAAGAAAGAATTGTGCAATCTGGCTCCTCATAGTTCCTTTTCCATGAGGGTATTAGGACATCAGGCAAAAATGAAATAAAATACAGATGGTCCCTCTGCTGCTATTAAAATAATACTGAATAGGACCAGAGCTGCCTTCAGACCAAGAACTTCCACCAGAGCTTTTTGAAATGAGGGGATAAAACCCCAATCCACAACCCATAAATAATCTGGCCTACCAATAACTAGTTTTGCTGAGCTGAAAACAGTAATGAGGTACAGGTGGAAAAGGGACAGATTAAAGAAACTCAAGGGTTTTTTCACATTACTCCTGGTTTTTGCATGCGTAGTGAAATATGCAGAAAGTTCCACAAACAAAGTAACTCAGTACAGGAATGAAACAGCTAGTTATTTTGCAGCTTGAGAGCTTACATCTGAGTACTGGCATCTGACAGCTGCTGGGAGCCAGAAGGAAAGAATATACAATATTTGAAAGAAGAACTGAGTCATAGACTTTGAGGGAGGGCGAAAACACTGAAAGGAAGCATTGTTACCAGAGGAGTATGGGAATGAACTGACACACACATACACTGTATTTTCTTTGTCTTATCCAGTACAACAATAGAACTGTAGTGGAGAAAATTCTTTTGGAGTAGTCAATGTGATTTTTTCCTTTGGTGCCAACCACCCACACCTGGTTGTCTGGCCAAACTAAGGCAGCAATGCATCAATGAGGCAGGATGAGATACAGCAGCCTACACGAGTAGCTGCTATTTTTATTTGCTTTGCTTGTTGCACAGACTAGCAGAAGTGCCCTCATTGTTCTCCTGTCTTCTTAGTTTGTGTTTTTATTAAGTGGTACATTTAAAAAGTGGGATTGCACCAAATACAGCATTTCAGCAACAGCAGATTTATATGCAAGGCTGTGGTGACAGAAGACTAATCTATTATAAAAATATGTGCTGTAAAAAATGACTTACCAAATATCAATTTTAAGTCCATTAGAAACTAGGAACTGGATGGTATCGACATGCCCACACAGGTGAAGAGCTGTGTTACCTTGGTAATCAGTGGCTAGCAGGTCAGCACCAAATTTGTGCAAGAGCTGACAGATGTCTACATTTCCTCTGGCTGCAGCGAGGTGAAGGCCAGTTCGGCCTCGGCTGTCACGAATATTTGGGTCGAAACCGCTCTCTAGCAGTCGTTTGGAATAGTTAAAATCTCCATCAATACAAGCCTGCAGCAGTGGCACGTTTGTCTGGGAGGAGTCATTTACAAAAACGTAGGACATTGCTCTGAATCTCTCCAGAGGAGGTGACCAACCTGAAAGTTTAAGCGGGAAGAAACGATGGTGAAACCAGGCAAATAAACACAATGCAGATATGCTCAGGTTCCAAAATAGGAATGCAAACTAGCTTATAAGCCAACTCTGAAATCTTCCTGTCATACACACTAACTTTGCATGCTGCATTCCCTTCTAGTAATATGGAAAAAGCCCCATTTAGTCTTACTCACACCTTTGGAAACAGCAGCAAAGCCTTTGTTATTATAGAGAACTGGTAGGATCACCGTCACAAATGAGAGACAGGTGAATAGCTTTCACCTACTACGGAATCACAGGTAGTGGTATTGACATTTAAGGGCAAAACACTGCAGATCAGGACAGAAAGGAAGAAACTGTCACAAATGGGGAAACCATAAACAATTCAGTTCACTTGTACAGTGATGCTAACTGCATTTTTGACCAGTTTATAACCAAAACGACTCCAGTGGGATTTTTACCATCTAAATTTGAACTTCAATGCACGAAGTACAGTCAGTTCCTAAAAGGCTAGATTAATATAAACACTAATGCCTTCATTCTGCAAGAAATACATTTTTCCATACTCTTTGCAGAACATTATTTTTACAGTGCCAGAGACACACAAACTACCAAACAAACAAGAACAGCAATACAGACCACAGAAAACTGAACACATTAGGTGAAATTGCCCACCTGAAAGTAAAAACTGGAAGTGGCTACAAGGAAAACAATGGTAAAATTAAGTACAGAGCTGCTGTGGGTTCGACTAGAACCTCAAAACAGAGAAGCACAAATGTGGTTTCTCTGGCTTAATATTAAACAAAAGATTAAGTCCTTTACTGTATGAGGACCTAAAAGAGGAAAACAAATGTTTCACCACAGATTACTTGATACAGAATATTTCATGAACTATGATTTAAGTTTTGCAGAAAAATTTTCATGGATGAGCCAGCTAATGAGGGTATGATGACACTGTGTGCCTATCAGACACAGAAAAGATCACTTGAAAACAGTAAGGAGAAAAAGAGAATGACTGAGCAAGAGAATGGTAAAATGTGTATGAGGCAATGGTAAGAAGCAATAATAACATCTAGGAGACTGGACAAGAGCCCTCTCTTTGCACTGCCTCAGAGAAGAGGTAGAAAAGAAAAAAAATATAAACTACTACAAATCCTTATGAGAAATCTCAACACAGACATGACACAATTCAAGTGACAGGAGGGAAAAATGATTTTACTAGATAAGCTTTGAACATAAAATAAACCAAAACCTCACTTGAAACAGTATTTTTCACTTGCCCAGGGTTTCTATTTTGGGCTCAGGGTGCAACAGAGTTCTAATTAACTATTTAAACCTCTTATTAAAACTGCTATAGCCAGATTTAAATTTTCCCAACTATATAAGGTATCCTTCCACACTGGTGCATCCATTCAGCCAGCAGAATGGAAACATGGCCAGTAGCCAAAGAACTCAATTTAAAACGTCTCCTTTTTTGAGAGTTTATAATGTCTATATTTTATAGCTCTTCCCCCATGTTTTAGATCAAATTCAAGATCAAAGTACCTACATACGTAATTTCAAAATGTTTATGCACTGGTCTGATTAAGAGCTGTAGCACTTGGGGCTGTTGAAGTTAATAAATCATATCTAAACTTCACTAGGCTGTATCTCCCATCTGGACAAATTCTGCTACATGTATCAACACTGTTTCCCAGTGCAGGAATGCACAACTTTTTTTTTTTCTTTCTTGGACGCTGAAGAGAAAGAGATAGGAATAAATTCTATGTCCTGGTATCTGTATAAGGAATGATTTTAAGCAGAGTACATTCCCCTAGGCTGCAAGTATGTTTTTAAGAAATGATGGTAAATCACTGGCTCAAGAACCCTTTTCCATAACCATCTCCAATAGCAAAAGGCCAGTTCACTGATACACAGTAAAAAAAAGACTGTTGTCATTAAGGGCACCAACAGAGTCCTTATGACTCGACATAACAAGAAAGGACAGTGCAATTACTTGCATTTCAAGGAATATGTTACACCCCCCTGGATGCTGCAAAGCTAGGATTCCCAGCTGACAGCAATTTCAATTTTCTTGCCCATTTCCCACCCAAATCATAAATATGAGAATCCTTCTTCCACTCTGCTACTCCAATCTTTACTGAGAAAAATAGTGGGATCACTTTCTGTAAGATGTGATTGTGACCTCTACACTAAATCTTCCCTAAAGTAAGATCATAAATCATTTTAAAACCTCCAATTATCACCCATAGTAACAGCATATCAATAGCACAAAACCCTACTTGTACTTGACAAAAAGATCGTGATTCGCTTGTAAAATATTTGAGTCTTTAAACCTGTTTAATAAAACATAAATCAACATGAGAATATTATACTGGAAGAGACGTAGGCTATTTGAGAAATGGCATGGCATGCTCTGTTAAATGTAAGCTAATGTTTATATTTTCATACCAGACGTGTATGTCCGGTAAAGCCTTACAGAATTCCCCAGCTGTGACGAAACATTAGCTAATAATACCAGGGGAAAAAAAGTCACCTCCTCATCTTCTCAGAAAACGAAGTCCAAAGATTAGCAATTAACAGAACATGTAACTGGAAGTAGTTCTGAATCAGAATTTATTATCACTAGGATCTTCTAGAATCGATCCCTGATGTGTAGAAGACTAAAGTAAAACCTTAGTATTTCCCAGTAAGAAAGACAAAAAAACCCAGCAAATCCAAATCCTTCTTCCCCGCACTTAGACTGAGGACTAAGCATGCATTCATCAAAAAAAAAAAAAGGGTGGTGAAAAAATAAGACAATCTGGACCATCTGGTTTGATTTATCTTTGTGATTAAAAAGATTTTTTCTACAAACACAATTCTATTTCACATATGGCTACTTAACCTACGCCAGATATAAGCTGCATACAAAGCTGAACTGTACAGCATTTTCAAAATGTCAGCCCCCAAATGGCATGTTCTTGCTTCGAATTTAACCCAACTTAGTAAAATTTCCTATCTAATAAAACTCTTAGAAAAATTTTTATAGTCAACTTCATTAGGTATTTCTGAATAAACAAAAGGTGGTTACATTTCTGACCACATCATGTATCAAAAAGCTTTCTGCTTTAATAAGTATCTAATGCTGCAGATTGAGAAACAAAATTTAGAAACACAATGGCATTAGCCATTCTCTTTAAGTCGCTTCTGAAAGGCGAATCAGTTAACAACTCTGAACCTGTCTCAAAGCTGGTACACCTACCGTTAAGCACTGATTTTACAGCCACAAATTAGGATAAATGGACTTGTATTAGTAACAAGACACAAAATATTGCAAAATGAGCATTCTGAACATCTCTAAAAATCACTACAACTAAGAGCTAAATAAATCTAGTTTCTAAAAACTGAAATAAATTACTGCTTCTGAAAATGCAGCACTATCTACTGAAAATGTATCTTTTAAATAATATTTTTTTAAAAACACGTTTTGTTGTGAACAACTTGGTACTTTGATAGAAAATTAATTTTGTGGAAAAAAAGTAAATTCAAAGATGTTCTCCCAAGCTAGAAGGATTCCCATCAGAAAGGCATACTATGAGAATACATTTTCCCTAGATTTATACATTTATATGGCCTCAACACAGTGTATTTTTAAGTAATGATTTTAGAAATTATGCTGGAAGCCACTTCTGCAATGACACATGTGGGCAAGTACAGGATAAGAAAACTTAACCAAACTGTTTTGTTTTCAAAAGGAATGCTTATATTAAGTGATTCTGTAAGAATAATTTACTTTTATTTACTAGCAGTCAATTGTCTCTCACTCTACTGTGTACAATGGTAATTCATTGTCACACAGTGATCTGTTGTAGGACATGTTCACGCCTGCTAAATGCAAATTCTGTCACTTCTTAAACTAGGCTGAAATTTGTACTAACCATGGACAGTTTTATTTTACAGTAAATACATGCTGCTGTCACTGCCTTCTCATTAAGTTCAACAGCTACCAAACAGCTCCAGAAACAGGAGAGAACAGCTTGACTGTGAGACAGAATCACTAATGGGACCCTCCACTATAAAAATATTAATAAATCTGCCAAGTTGTGATTAATCACCCCGTCACTACTACGGAGCATATACCAGTTCTACAAAACTACAGTATTTCCCAGAACACTCAGAGAAACTGAAGTAACTGTCCCTATTTCAATACAACATGTCAGGACAACAGGACAATACCAGATTGCTCAATCCTTGAGACTTCTCAATATTAACACGCACTTAACAAGTAGAACCTAAGCATCAGTAAGAGAAATTGCCACCACCAAGAAACAGAAACTAAACCAAAACCAGTAAAAAGTACCATCTCCCACCCCATTCCACCGAAAAACACAGTATGTGTTACTTGAAAAATTTGCATTTGTCAACTCCCTGGTGGCAAACAGCTTCCTCTTTCTGTAATGAACTTTGAGAACACTTCAGTGGCTTGCAGAGCTCCTCCCCTTCAGTATTTAAATGAATGAAAAACATTCCAATACCTTCCTCAAACTGCTGTTTTCACGCACACACGTATTTACGTGTAAGTCACTGAGAAGTCATTTAACTGAATAAATATTATGTTTAGTAAAAAGTTATGTGATCAGCTCATTGGTTTAAAAAGAACCTCATTACCTACCTCAAGTTCCACTGGGATTTCTGTATCTTCTATTAGAAACCTTTATCTATTCAGTCCAATTGGAACAAAGTTTTATGACTCCACTAATATGGATCTGCTGCTAAAAGCAGCAGCTCAGATTCAATACAGCATGATGTCTACTTTACACACATTTATATTTTTCAGCATTTTCCCTTTCTAACTTCAGGATTTTTTTTCCAGCAGTTCCTGGATTTAAGGATCACAGCAGGCTCATAACACCCACATCCCCTCTCATGTCTCTAGTCAGACACATGGGTATGTGGTAATAGAAGAACATTTTTTATGTCATTTGTGTATTGAATCATTCCCATTCCCTTATATAGACAT